TGAAAGCAAAGCCTAGGTTCCATTAAATCAGAGCTTCTGAACCCCTGCACTGTCGGCAAGCAGGCAGAAAGACTCCTTGTGTGGAGGACTCTAGTATACCGTAGAATGTTTAGCAGGTTCCCCACAGGTGAGACACCAGTGATACCTCCTCACAGCTGTCACAAGCAGTGAAGACCCTGACACTGCCAACTGGCCCCTTGGTGGGGGACAGTATTGCATAATTCTCAACTGTTTTATCACAAGACTCATTTGACAGAATGGTTGACTCATTGAAGCAGTTTATCATTTTTCAAAGAACTGATGTTTTGGTTTATACCTTAAAGCCAGGGAATGGACTTTTTGTTTTGTCCAAATTTCTTCCAGCTTTTTTTGTGTGTGACTTCACTGCATGGTCCTTTTTAGGTGTTTTTGTATTGGCATCCTTCTGTGGCAAGAGCTAAAGTAGTATGAAGTATTTTGGAGATTAGGAAGGAGTTTTCATGACACGGGATCAGCATTCCCAGTATGCAGATTAGATTATTGTGAAATTTAAATGAATTTGCATAGAGTTGATGCATGGTGAATAATTTAAGCATGTGGTCCATTATGCTGAGGAGCACAGAAATAACTGTCTTTCCTCCTAGAAAATGAGAATTGGTGAAGTAGTCTCTGAAGATTGATGATAAATGCCAGACTATAGTTTTTCTAAAGTCTTTTCTTTTTTTAACAACCAGTTTGGGGTTATGCCCAGAAATTATGAATTTGTCTTAAGGAAAGAAGAGTGACTTTTTTTGGGGGAGGCGTGTACCAGGGATCGAACTTGGGTCCTTGCACTTGTGAAGCCAGTGGTGGAACCACTGAGATAAATCCCTGGCCCAAGAAGATTTACTTTTGAAGTGCTTACATAACTAACTTGATACAATATAATTTGAAGATAGCTAGCTGATCTTCATGGAAAATGTGTCATTAGTGCACCTTTCTCTGGGGAGAATATGTTGCTAAATCTTTACAATTTTTCTGAGTATAGGTGGTATAGATTGAATTTTGTTGTGGAAGAAGTACTATTTAGTCAGAATGCTCTGATAAATCAAACATATCAAAAGAGATCTGTTGTTGGGGCCACATTTGGTAATTGGGTGGTTTTCTGAATTACACAGTATCTGCACAGTTTGACTGGAATGAATGCATGTGTCATGTAAATGTTCTTTCTTAAAGAGAATGTCTTTCATTACCCACCTCACCTCCTTGAAGGATGAATTAGAGTTTTGTGTGTAGCAAACCTGGTTCATTTGGAGTGGATATGCTTATAATTGTTTTTAGTACTGTGTAATTATTCTTAGAGTCTTGGTTCATGTCATATCTATACTGTGTTTCCATTTACTAGTCCTTTGAAACATACAGTAAAGAAGGTTTTGCTGAATACTTAAATACTTTCAGCCATTTTGGTGAAAAGAACATTTTATAGCTCTTGCAATAAATTGTATGTTTTGCTTTGAAAGAGCTGAATTAACTTCTTGGTGCAGCTTGTCTGAAATGCGTAAAGCTAAAGGCAACTGTTAGTTTGATCACAGGGGCAGCCAGTGTGGAGACTGGTAAAAAACCCACACACTTCATGTGTCCTCATATGTAGTTTTTCTCTGGTAGGAAAAGTCTGAGGCACTTTCGCATAGTTTAAATGATGCCATCCAAATGTGAAAAGAATTATGAGTCACCAAATCCATACATGCATGCTTCAGTGTGAATCCTGTACATTTCCTAACCTTTATTAAGACAATATACATGAGCATATTTTGGAGTATCATTGTAAAAAATGACAGAGAATTTCTCACCGTGAGGCTTATTTTAGCAATTTTGCCATGATGCTACAAGTCCTAGTTTTAGTATATAACGGCAAGTAGGAGTTTTCAGAAGGAGTGCTTGTGGAGAAATGTCGACTCTTAGTGGTAAAGCTCTCTCACCCATCGCGTTAGAAGATGTGGAGCAGTCACTTTGTCAGTTTAGTGATGAGTGCAACCTGCAGTCATTTAATGGAGCCCAGCTCAGGTACAGAATGGTGGAGCAGTATTGGGTAGATAGGTCACTTGTCCCCTCTCTTCTTCCTTTTTCCTTTTTCTTTTTTTTTTTTTGGTACTGAGGATTTTACTCATCTCTTACATCCTGAGCTATTTTTTAATTTAATTTGAGACATGTTCTCACTAGGTTGCCTAACCTGTCCTTGAGCTCTTGATCCTCCTAACTTGGCTGCATCGTGCCGGCACCACTGTCTATTTGCAAATTGGGGACAACTGTTACTTCTCTTTCACTGGGATTTTTTTTGTTGTTGTTGTTGTTGAATAGGTGAAGAATCTGTAGGCTACTTGAGACACTTGAAGTTTTTGAAAAACAATAATATTTACTTTCGGTATTTTTCCTAGCATGGCAGAGTTATTGTAGAGGAAACCCTTCCAGGTTATCTCTTGTGTTCTTACACACTTTGACCTACTGTGTTCCCTACTGAACATAGTGAAAGGAGTGACTGCCCTTCTGTGCATTCCACAAAGTGAAATCTTGCATCTTCTATTCTCTCTGTATATTTTTCTTGTGGCAGTTTCTTTTCTAGTTCCCTTGGAACTAAAGACTTCTGTTTTTCCATCCCTAACCTTGACATTGGTTTATGTGGGACTGGTTTTCCATTTGACAGATGTAGCTTCCTATAGGGATATCTGGCTTCTCCTCAGAGTCTCCAGAACAGAGCTTACTACTTTCCCTTAATTCCCATCCCTGCCCCGGACTGCTTTTTAAGAAAGATTCAAATCCACTCTTCCCCTCAGTCATGTCCCCCATTTGTACCTATCCTCACCATCTCTTTATCTCCTGTTCACTTAGCTAACACATTCTGCCCAGTCGTCTTCTGTGGCATGGATCATTTTTTCTCTCCTTCGAGCCAGCATCTGTGGTCCAAACCCTAACTGCTTACTAGCTTTGATTTCTAGCTAGCCTGCCTGGCCCCATCTTTTTGGCTATTGACTTGCAGCTGATCATCCTTAAATGTTACACTTTGTTTTGCTTATGGTACTTCCTTTCTATCTATATCATCTATCCATCCATCCATCTACCGGCCCTCCCCTCCGTTTATCTATCAACCCATCCATTCATTTGCATCTTCCCCCGCTCACCCACCCATCCATTATCTATCCATCCATTCACCCACCCGTCCTCTGTCTCTATCTCTATCTATCTGTCTGTCTGTCTGTCTATCTATCTATCAGAACTGGGATTGAGCCCAGGGCCTTCACACTAAATTACATCCCCAGCTCTTTTTGTTTTGTTTATTTTTAAAATTTTACTTTGAGACAGAATCTCATTAAGTTGCTTGAGTTGAACTCAAACTTGGATCCTCCTGCCTTACCCTCTCAGAGTGCTACATACCACTACACCCAGCTCTTCTCCAGCTCTTTTTATTTTGAGAGACGAGATCTCCCAGGTCACCCAGGCTGGCCTTGAGCTTGCTATTCTCTAGCTTCAGCCTCCTTAGTAGCTGGGACTATAAGCACGTCCCTCTCTGCCCACCTTCATTATTTTTCTTTTCTTTATAAGTGGTAAGGCATTTATTTTCACCTGGAACAAGAACTCCAAATAATTTACTTTTAACAAATATATTTTCCTTTAAAAATAATAACTCATTTTTGTCCAAGGGCATCTGAAACTGTAAGGGTATTACTATTGTTTTTAAAAGCTCTTGAGAACAAAAATAGTTACAAATGTAGCAAATAAAACTCAAACCTCAGATTACTGAAAGGTATATTCCCTGCCAAACCAAACCAAACCAAACAAACCTAAAAAAAAATCTTTGGAAAAATCTTGTTGTTTTGTGTGCCTGCCACCCTAATGAAATAGTTTTTAAGTAGTGTCATAAGTTCCAGATTTTACTTCCACCTGTTTCCCTGCGATCTCAGGAGAGCTCCCTGTCACTGAGGTGCAGTTTCTATGGGAAGTGAGTCTTTTGTGTTCCATACTGTGTAGGAAAACCCCGAAGGGCGGGTCCAGCCCCTAGGATGATCAGAGTCTTAAAGAGAAAAGTTGCTTGGCTGCAGGACCAAACACCTGTGTTGCTGTAGCTTTCACACTTCTCTGAAAAAAATCTCGTTTTTTTCAGGCTTCCTAAATTTCTTAGTTTTCAAATTTTAATCACAAAAATTGTATCAGCATTGACAACTTGGTTGAAAAACCAGTAACTCAAAAGGAGTCAGCTAACCTTTCATTTTGGGGTGGCAATTGTGGATGGACCTCGCTTTAGAAGTTTTGTTTGAAGCTTGACATTTGAGTATCAATAAATAATGGACTTGTTTTCTTTTATAATAATTAAGGTTTTCATACATCTTGCATATAGAAAGTGTCAGAAAAGTATCTTCTTATTGAAACTTACTTGTTTTTATACTTTTGCAGAATATACAGTCCTTAGATGGTCACACTGTACTTTTTGTGGGAGTTGGAGGAGTTGTAATAACCTTGAGACTGCAGGGCTGTTCTCAGAGACCATAATGAGCTACACAGGAGCCTGCCCCCACCTTTTCGCATTGATTTCTGTATCTGTTTCTTGGCAATTAGTCCTGAAAGTAAGGAACGGAAATTAACTGTTTAATAGAAGGGTGTTTTGATGGGAGGGAGTTATCTCATCTAGGAAAACTGAATATGACTGTTTTGTTCTTCTTGCCAGGAATAGCCTAGTGTTAGAGTGAGCAGGAAGATCTTTTAATTTCTTTAGAGAAAGTAGATATTTTTGACTGGAGAAGCAGATTTTAGAAACCCTAAGCAAAATATTACATCATTTATTATGATGTAATAAATTCCATATTCAGTGCAATATAACATAAGTGTGTAAATTTAATCAAAAAATGAGGGAGAGCATATATTAGTAGTTGTCTGTAGCAATAATTAAGTAAATAACACTTGCCATTCATTTCTAAATTTAGCTCTTTATTAGTGGATGCTAGGAGCAGGGTTTTTTTTATGTTTTTATTTTTGTGATTCTGGGGATCAAATCCTAGGGCCTCATTCCTTTTAGGCAAGTGCTCTCCGTTTGAGCTAATTCCTATCCTGGGAGCAGTATATTTTGCAAAAATTTCCTTTAATCCCTCCCCACACCCCTCCAAATAAAAGAAGAGATACTGTGGTAGGGAAAACACTCTTGGGTACCACAGTCTAAATGTGGATTTACAGTACTTCCCTACTATACTGGCTGGTCTTTTGTTTGACATTTTAATATGGTGTTTAATTGCTCAAGGCCCATTGGAGCCGGAGGACTGTTGACCTCAGAGCTCTGTAACTTACACATTTTAAACAGAGCTCTAATCAGTCCCCCGTTCTCAATTGCTCTGGCTCTGGCTCTAAAACCTTTGAGAATAGCAGTTTTTCTCACCCATTGCAGGGAAATTGTGATGTCAGTGTCAGATTCTCCCACCTGGAGTCTACCTACTTCTTCCTTCGGGTTTGTGTCAGCAAACACCCTGCTCTGTGCCTTGGGGAATCAGACCCTGGATGGTTAGCTGTCTTGGTGTTCTAGGCCGCACTACGGGAACTGAGTTACAGAGGTTAGAGAAGCTATGGGTTCACTTGTGAGCATCCTCTTTCTTGTGTCTGTTCATACTTTTGCAGGCGCAGCAGCTCCCCTCTGTGATCGCCTGTCTTTGGCCCTGGAAGGACCTCCCTCCAAGGGTGAGAACACCAGCCTTTTGAAGCAGACTCCTCTCTCTGGTCCAGCATCTGCCCATTCTTTGCTGAGTCCCTGAAATGTGTGTCTTCTCTTTCTCCCCTTCCCCTCAGGCACACAGTCTCTTATTCTTAAAATGGTAAACATCTTAGGTCTGACTTCTCACTTCAGTTGATTTAATTTGATTTATAGCCTGCATTTTCAAAGGAAAGTTGGGGCTAAATTTTTTTAATGTAAAACTGGATGATTACTCTTGTGAAATTACTATTTTGCACTTAACAAATTCCTAGGCAGATTCAGTATTTGCCTTCGCTTAATCTAACAAGTGAATACTACATGCTTCCATGTTGATATATAGAATTTGAAGGTAAGAAATATAATCAATAATTTTCTGTGACAGTGAGTACTTAATAGTATTGTAAGTTAATTAAAAACTTTTTAAGAAGTTGTCATGTTCAGATATTTTTATTTTTATGAAAGATTTGCAACTCCAAAAATCTTTGAGTGAGTTAAAAATCAGTGTCAGATACTAAAAACCTGCTAAAAGCTTAATTAATCATCTCTCTATTTGCTGTGAAAACTACTTTATGTAGTGATCAGTTTTAGAATAATTTCTTATTGTGACCATCAACTTTCTGAGTCATCTTTCACAAAATGGCATATTAAAACCTTTTTCTTACACTTAGTCCCTGTTTTTATAACATTTTGGATCTTTTAAATTCAATATAACCATACTAGTTTTGTTATTTTGGTGTTACTCTTTGCCTATAAGCTTCTTAATTCTTACATAGTTAGCGTTTTCTGATTCTTGATGTTAAAATGTGGGTTTTTTTGTAATTTAAGCAAATAATTACAAGAAATTAGTATTAGTGACCTTTAAGTGACTATATCGCAAAGCTAGTTGCAGAATTTTCCAAATAAGATATAAAGTGATCCTGAAGAATAATTGTGAAATCAGTGACTTACTGATGACAGTGTAAATTAAATCAAATACTAAGTTTTTTCCTAATGCTTCTTCTTTCTTCTAGACCTAAAGTAATCTTAAAGATTCTGTTACTTTTTTTTTTTTGCCCTTCATATAGCTTTGTAGAATTAACAAATCTGCAAAGATGGGTGAAGACAGTTTCACCAGTGTTGTTTGTGTTTCTTTAGTGCTAGCTCGAATCTGTCTTTAGATTAATCTGCTTTATTTCAGGGTATTGTTGAGGGAGATAGGACTGGGGCTAATTGGACCCATGGACAGAGATGTCCCATTTATCTATAGATTTTTTTGTCTGTATACCTCCACATCAGATGACGACAGCTTAACAGTTGTCCAGCTAATCTTGAGATTTTAAAGGACCAGTATTTGAATAAAGACCCTAATTCTTTCTTGTTACTGTTTTGTTTCGATAATTTATACTCAAATTGTCTTAAAGATGGTAAGTTAAATATTGATTAAGGATGGTTTGTTCAAGTATTTGAAAGCAGTAGCTTGCAAAGTTAAGTATATGCATTTATTAAAATTGTCAAGATAATATGGAGGAGGAAAGGGAAGGATAAAAAAAAAAGAAGCTATTGTATGTACATGTAACCACTCCCCAAGATGGTTGTAAACTACATGTCTTGCAAACATGTACTAATAAAATTTTTAAAAATCATAGATATATACAATAGTAACCGAAGTCTTATTTCTTTAAGAGAGCATGCTATTAGTAAACTATGTTGGTGATAAAGGTTCTTAGGCTCTAAGCTTATAGGTATATCTATTTGGTATACATTTTCAGCTTCTCCAAGTATTAATCCGTATCAACAAGGTCGAACAGGAGGGATACAAAGACATGTTCAGGAATTCTTATAGAAATACTCAATATTGTTTAGCCAGGCCTGGAAATCCAGAAGATAAACTAAGGCACAAGCCATGGTCTGAAAAGTACTGGACTTTTAAAAGTTTTTCATTGTCTAAAATTAGAAAGAAAAAGGCCCTTTATTCTTTAGCTTGAAAATATTTTTAGTAGGATGGTTAAGGTTTCATTAGTATGTCTGGGAAGATTTGTAGCCTCTTCATTAATAGGACTGATCATTAAATTTCACACATTTGAGAAACCTTTGACCTCAGGGTAGTCATTAATCAAATTTTTAACTGATCTGGCATTAGGTAAGTGGTATCTAAAAGTGGCACTGTTGAACACTGTGCTGAACATGAACATTGTATACGTTTGTTGGGATAGTCCCAAGAGGTTTTGAGCAGGGCTAGAGAAATCTTAAGGAAGTTACTCCAAAGCAGTGTTCCTGGAGCTGGAGTTGCTTTAAAACACATAATTTCTTATCGTATTTCAGCTAGTCAGATGATTCCTGAATTTCAGAAATTCTCAGCTCCAAAGTCAGTGTTCAACTTGCAGTGTTTTTTGTGTTGTAAAATATTTTAGATATATCATTTGACCATATTACGTGCCAGGAGGGAATCATGTAGAATCCGATTTATATCATACCTTCTTTAATTTAGAAAAAGCTGTCCTTTATTCAGGTAATAAAGAATACAGTGTTTTAAGTACTGTATTGTTTTAGCTGCCCAACATCAGATATCAGGATAGGTCAGTTGTTTGAATTGGGCCTATGAGCTAGCAACTGAAAAGGGTGAGAAAGGGAAAGGAAAAATTGTTAAATAAAAAAGGAAAAACAAATGAAAAGCAGATGGAAAGGCAGCTGCTCCAACCTCCCAGACCCTTAGGACAAAGCCCTCAGGGCCACCCTTGACTTTCTTTTTCATATCTCACCCCTAATTCAGCAGCTGAATTCCTGGGCTCTATTTTTTTGTTTGTTTCTTTTTACTTTTCTTTTGCCCCTCCCCTCTCGATGCCCCTCCCTATTCCCTTTCCTCTTCTCCTTTCCCTCCCCTTCCCGCCTCTTCCCCATTCCGTGTTCCCCCTCTCTTCCTGTCCAGTCCCCTGCCCCCACCTCTCCCGGCCTGTCCGTTTCTTCTGCCCCTCTGTGTCGCTTGTCATCTCCACTGGGCTTTTGCTGTGACTTCACCGCCTGCATGTTGTCCCCACCTCTGCATAGCTGCCCCATAGCATCCTTGACCCTCAGCCCCCTCATACTTCTGCTTTCCCTCAGGGCTCCTCCCTAAACTTTTCAGGCTTTCAGGTCTTCTTACTGGTATATCTATCCATTGTACATTTTTCTGCGTCTTTTATGAGATAGCTCCTCAGTCCTGTCACCACATTACTGATTTGGCGGGTGTAGACCTAGATGCAGAGATTATAATCTCTCTCTTCCTCTTCCTATTTTTTTTCTGAATCACATTCTTAACTGAAGTACTAAATGTTTTGTGTTTTGTGTATTTGTGCCTTGCAGGTCCCATGCCCTAGAGGGCAGGGATCTTTCCCTCAGTCTGCTGCTCCAGAGCAGCATATGGTATAGTAAGGACTCAGGGTAGACAGGAGAGGGAACACTTACTGTGTCTTATGAAATGAAGTGTTGCCCCATTCTAGAATAAAAAATGTAGCCAGTTAAGATCCTTAAAACAAATAGTTGTCATTTGTCCGTTGACAATATGAAATGTTCAGAATTGGACATAATCTAATCTGTAAGGATAGAAAGCAGATTTCATGCTGAAGAAAATGTCCTAAAATTGATTGTGGTGGTGGTTGCAGAACTCTGTGAATATAGTGAGTGTTAGAGAATCTCAGTAAAGCTTGAGAATACAGCAAACAAAAAACCCTAAACCAAACCAAACCAAACGAGTGAAATTAATTAAGAATTGATAGAAACCGGAATTATGGGCTTTTGGCCTAACACCTCATTCAGCTGAGATGTGAGCTGTCGCAGTGGACTGGTGGTAGGCAGTGGGCATTTGTGGTTGGTGGGGTTAGGGATGCATGTTTTGGAGGCCATGGACCTCATCACAGTTTTACACCCAAATGTACGTTTTTAACATAACAGTCTCAAATCTCATACAGTGGATAGATTATATTCAATATGTGATGTGTATATTACGGAGGGATATGTTAAATATCTGTGAGAAAGATGCTTATTGTTGCACTTTAAAAGAAGAGACATCCGTGGGTCACCCTTCGTCTATGGATGTTTTATTTACTGAGTATTTAATTACTAGGCATATAAATTGGTTCGGATAGTGCTCTATCTTAACAAGATGCATTTTTATGGAATACATTCCTTGTGCCTGTTACAAATTAAAAAGAAAATAGTTCAGATGACCAGACCATAGTTGAAATGTAGTGCCTTTGCCTGTTAAAAGTGATCAGGTGAGTGTGACTGACAGCTGGAGGAAAGAGAAAAAGTCAACATTCTTCACAAAACTGGGGTAAAATGTAAACTGCAAAACAATATTCTTTGTGACAGCGGACAGGCAATATATTCTTCCAGTGAGAAGAATGCCATTATCTTACAAATTGGGTTATTAACAGTTAGAACAAACTTACAGTGCAAGCAGAATTTTGTGGGCCAGGAAGGAAAGAGAAGTTATTCTAAATAAATCCTGGAAGAGGTAGAAATACACTTAAAGGTGCTTGTATGTGTCCATATAGTGAAAGCATTTGGAACGTGACAGTGCGAATTGTACCTAAAGTGGCCTGATTTCCACATATTACAAATGACATCAAATGGCTCCTGAGACATGCGCTGCAGAAGGGACCATCTGCATAGATTATTGTTTAGAAAATGAACACAGCCCTGCATCGCTGAATGACTGTGTGTATCCTGAGAAAGGCATCATCAGGTGGTTTTGTCACCGTGTGAACATCATAAATGTACCAACACAATATTGCTAAGGTCACAAGGCCAAATAATCATAGGAACCACTGTCATGTATATAGTCCATTGCTAACTGAAATGTGGTACATAACCGTTATATGTGTTTACAAGAAAATATTTTATTATTCTCATATGCTAATAATACATTGAACACAGAATTTTAAAGGAATTATTATAGCTTTTTCCAAACTTTATTTGCATTTTATTTCACACTTTTTGTTCTTTTCCTCAAAGACAATTTAGCATCTCCAGTGTTAGTAAATCCACATTTCTACTTCAGGAACTTGAAAAACAGTAATGTAATGGACTCTAATTGTGTTTACACACAATACATTGATACCAGCAAAAGAAGGGCGCCTGCTTTGCATAATGACTTACTCAGTGCTTTGTGTTTCTCACTGGTAACAAAGCTAATTTACTTTTAGGAGTGATGCAATTCCAGAGCAGAGATTTGATGTCATTCTAACGAGTCTGCTTTCGATTGTACAGTACAGTGGAGCTCTAGTAAGGGTTAGTAAGAAATCTCCTAGACTCCTATGGATAATAAATTTGAGAAGAAGGCCATCAACATAGATTGAAGTCGACCTGGCATGGAGTTGCTGTGTGAACAGCCCTTGTGCAAACTCTGCAGTTCTGTGTGTGGTTTTAAATCACTGTAAATTTGTAGGCAGGTACATATTACAATTGTCTGTTTTTCTTTTTAGGGTTCATGTAATCAAAGAAGTTTCTTTGTTGTGTGTATCTTTACAGAACACAACAGGAATTGAAAATGAATCAGGTGAGTTTAAAATAAAAATTTATACAAATGCATAACCTAGATGTTAGACCACTCTTGATTTTAAAGACAGTGACATACACATTCATGCTGTGTAGATTGTCATTTTCGTCTCTTAACACCATTCATTCGCTGCTTTCACAGTGTGTTTGTTTATGGAGTGGAATGTGCATTGCTTTGTCGTGGGTTGGCCTTCTGTGGGTCCTTGAGTGGAGGGTTCATTCTTAGGAACTTTCCTTCAGACTCTCTTTTTTTCCTCTTCCCTGCCACACTTGTGTGAGGTTTTGGTCTTTGTTTTGAAGCTTATTCAGGTTCCATTTGTAACATTTCTTATTTTATAATTTCCCATTAATTCAGAAGGAAAGATTGAAAGCTCTTTTTAGAAACTACAACCAGTCAACCCAAACTTTAAGAATTTTGTCGTTGAAAACCCTTTTCACAGAATAAAGTGGGCAGATATTAAAGTGTAAAGTGTATTTCTCTTTACGGATGGGTGTGGGATTACCTGGAGATTAAACTGTTCCGCCAGGGATATTTCTGTGACCTTGAGAGCATTCTGATCAGTAGAATCAGTTGCATGGATTTCATTTATTCCAGAACAGCATTCTTATTTTCTCAATATCATTTCACTTGTAGTTATAGAAATTTATAGGCATCAGAAACACTCTGTTTAAAAAATCTTCATAAACACATTCTTCTTAATATAGGAAGAACTAAACCTGAAAGTGTGAAGTTTGTAATATATTTTCATCCTTAGCTTAAAACATTTAGACTTGGAAATATTTTGTATCCCTATCTCCTGAAACATTAAATGCCTTTTTTAAAAAAATCATTTACAGGTGCTTCTAAATAGAGATCTCAGGTCATTCCATTAGATGGCAGAGTTTAATAAATCCAATCCTGTTTTGTATTGAGGGATATAAAATTCTTGGAAAGGATTCTTTTGATTTCTTTCCATTACTTTATCAGAAATGTTTATTTTAATACAAAGGACTATACATCATAAAAAACAATCTGGCGAACACATGGGACACATGGTTTCTATTATTTTAAAACTTGGAGTTTTACTGACATGCTTTGATGGCAAAGTATTTTTGAAATGGTGAAGGGGGAGGGAAAAAGAAGAGTAGATTTTTTTCAGTCATCATCTGTCAAAGTTGTATGAATGTATGTCATAGATTTCATTTACTTTCCTGTTTTAAGATTGGCTCTCAAATGTGAACCTGATCGCCTTGTTTTTCTGCTTCATGGGGGCCACTGTTAGAGGAATCTTGATTCTGGTTAAGAATGATGGCGAATATTTCCAAAATGGAATCTAAACATTGACTTTGTCCCTGTAGCATCCTTGTTGTTGATTGATCCTTTATTTGAAGTGCCTATACTTTAACCTTAAGCTTAATCATGCCTTAATCCTTATGCCCTAGTCACATTTTTATTGTGTTTGGATTTTTTTTTAATGCCTAACAGTTTTGCTTTAATGGTCCATTTTTATCAGTGAATTTGTGTTTAAGCTTGCGTGCTATTGGAAAGAGTTGTAGCAATATCCATTTCTCTTCTTGGCTCTTTTGCAATTTCATTTTGCTTTTGACAAGTTTTAATATCAGATCTATAGAGGGCTGCCTTTGATGCCAAATGCCAAATTTCAGGGGAAAAGTATCCTCTTATGTGTGTAATGGTTAGCACATTTCTGATTTGGGTGTAATTTGCATGGTCTGGTACTATTGAAAGTTTTGTTTGGCTTATAAAAGTTGTCCACTTTTTGTGACTAAAATTTTCAGCATTTTTAGTTATTCTTCAATATTGCAATAATTTATTTGCAGGCTCTTGGGACCTAATTAGGTCATAGCATTAAAAAAAATCTATCAGTAATTTTCAATGTAATTTTTGTTTGTTTGTTTGGTTTTTTTGGTACTGGGGATTGAAGTTGGGTCCTTGTGCTTGCGAGTCTGGCAGCTGAACCACTGAGCTAAATCCCCGGCCCTGTCTCAGTAATTTTTAAAAATTCAGAATACTCAGGATAGTTTATGCTTACACTTATGTTTATCTTCTCATTTTCAGCATAAATCCATCAAAAACTTTAGGTAATGAAGATTTTTGAACTTGAAAAGATTGATTTATAATTAAAATCCCATTATTTTATGATTGGAGTAGTCTCTCTAGAACCTGGTTGGCACTGCTTTGATAAATTTTAGCTGTCATGCCTGTCCCATAATGGGCAGGGTCTCTAAGACAGCAGCACAAAATCATTTCTTCCACACATGCCTGACCCTGAGGTTAGGACCTGAAGGGTCCTGCCTGTGGACGTACCGTACTGCTCACAAGCGATTATGTTAGAAGAAATGGTGAAGCGTGATGCTTGCCAGTATGGTAAGCATGGACCGTGAAAGTGTCTATGTGTTCTAAGTCCTTCCTGGGAGGCTGGCTCTCCAGGCTCCCTTGGAGCCCAGCTATGAGGCTCCACAAAGCCCCTGAAGTAACTATTCCGAGCCCTTCCTACACCTCTGTCACTTCTGTGTAGAGCCAGTTGGCTTTGCCTGGGAGTCCACATTCCTTCCTGGTGAGCCCCTGCCTGGCTGGCCGGAGATGGAGCACTCGCTGTTTCTTCTTCCTGCCTCTGCTTTCTCTCCCCTCCATTTTCAGATCTTAGATATCCTGTACTCTTTAAGTCCACGCTGATCCTGCTCAGTTTACTGTGGGGCTGTATCCTGATAAATCTATTATAAAGTAAAAAACTGTGGGGCCAAACTATCCTAAGTTAGGAGTCATCTATATTTAATTTCTGAGATGTTCTTCTGAATTCCTAGATTGATTTAGTGACAGTGCACACAGGCTCATAGTATCTTCGAGTAGATTCACTAGACTTTCCTACCACTTGGTATCTATTCCGTGCCTGACAAGTTTGCAGGTGCTAAGCATTTTCTATTAATTACTCTTATCAATTCAGTCATTGTAACTAACTTTTGTGGATAAAGATATCAAGACCTTGCACTTGGTCACTGCAGCAGTAAATGAAAGAGCTTTGATATCAATCAAACTCAGCCTGGGTTCTTGGTCACTATGCTATACTGTTCTGTTAGTCAGGATAAGCTATAAAATGCTGAGTTAACAAGCATCTCCACAAATCTCAGTGTTTAACAGGGTAGCAGTTTATTTCTTGTTTTTGTTCCACATCCAGGGTGGATCAATATGGGACTTTGCTTGTAGTCATTTAGGAACTGAAAATAATGGAGGCTTTGTCTCAGGTTTGTATTAATTAGCCACAGTCCTCGGCACAGTGAATTTAGAACTCGTCAGGGAAGCACTGCAGTCCCCTCAGGTGCATCGTAGCAGAGGGGAACTGCAGTATTTGAGCACAACCATGATAATTTATGACAACTGCCTTGATTACTAATTTACTGAGTCAAACTTAGGTTTTTTCCCCCCCTAAGATCTTCGTATAACTCATTCAGATTAATGTTTGAAATTACTACTAATAATAATTGAGGATCTCTACATGCTGGACAGTAATCTATGCTATTGCTGCTAACCAGCAGCAGGGCAATTTAGCCTTCAAAGCTTGTTTTAAAACTAGGAATGGAAGAAGCTTTAGTTACTCAGTGCTGTGAACCTGACCCTGAGCCTGTGAACGCCACCCCCATTGCCATGTTCTCAGCTCTCTGAAAGTCTTACCCATTCCTTCACCTTCTGCACACATTGCCTCCCAGAGTGCTGTGGGGACTGAGGTAAAGTAGGCAGGCAGGGCTCTGCAGTTCCACGCTCTCAGAGGCGGTAAGGCAACACAAGGCTCAGTAGCACAGACTGTTCCAAAGACCTGAAGCAACCCTGTGATGCCAAGTGTCGAGGTGAGGGCAGGGGCAGGCTCTCTGGATCGTGTGCTCTGAGGAGGTGATATAATCAGCATTCAGGTTGCAGCCAGCAACCAGGTATAGGAAGTCCCTAGGAAAGAGAATCCTAGGCAGAGTGAACACATTAAACACAGGTCTTGAGGTGGGAATGAGCTTGGTTCAAGAAACAGGGCAAGCCAGGGGCCTGAGCTTAGCCCTGTCAGGAATGTTGGAACAAGTTGAAGTTGGTGTAAGAAGCAAAACCCAGGCTTCTAGGGATGTGAGGCTGTCGGAAAGCATTTCTATTTTATGATAAGTATAGCTGGGAAGCACTGGACAGTGACATAACCTGATGCCTTTTAGACTGTCACTCGTACCAAGCAGTGTGGAGTCCGGGCTGTCAGGGACAAGAATGTAGTAATAGACTTGTTCATTACTGGAATTAACTCTGTATTTTCAGATACTTTCTTAGGTTGGATAACTCAGTCGACCTGCAAGCTTTCGGAGAGAGTAATACTTAATATTTCTGAACTAATTTGATTGCTGTCTTTTTCAAACATGGTATATAAAACTTTAGTTCCATGTGTCCATCTGTTTATTGTTACTGAAGTCACACTGATTCCTTAGTGCAATTTGTTATTTCAGTAAACTGAACCATGTTTGAGTTTTTACCCCATCGTTTGCCTGGGAATAGTGGCTTAGAGTCTTGTTTGGAAATTTAAACAAAGAAGATTTTAGAGTATGTTAATACCCTGTGATTCTTGGAATGTTTTTGGTTATAACAATTACTGTGGTGATTATAACTAGCCTACTGTGACAGTCATCTATCAGTATGTTAGCATGAATATGCTATCAAGTATTCTTAACTTTAAATGTTATTGAAGTAAATCTCTATCACCCAGCACTCTCGGCCTACAGTGTTTTGATCAAATTGATCTTAAGAAGTAGGTGCTGTAATTAAGTAGATTAAAATTGATACTCGGTAACTTCTAGTTTTTATATAAATGTAAGTGAAATACTCGTAAAACTTGCTTAGTCTTATATTTTTAAAGATTGAATGCAGTAGTACATTTACCATGTAAGATGGCACATGCAGCCTCATATGTGGCAGTCACTGCCAAGTTTGTGCTACACATCAGGGTTCTCTGGCCGGTTGCAGGGGACATCTGTCCATAGGAGTGGAGAGAGGGCTATGGTGAGGGTGTGGGAAGGCTGATTCTGAGACCACTGAGCTGGAAGCAGAGCTGGGACAAAGGGGTAAGTGGTCAGAAGTCAGGGACTTCTGGAGGTTTCGAGTAGGGAAAAGTTTGAATCGGGTTAAAAAATAAATCTTAATTAAAATTTATTTTTTGTTGCACTGGTATTTTTGTCCTTTAAGCTATTGTCCTGGTATACTAAAGTTTCATTTGAGAATGAATTAAAGATGAGCACGTAGAATTTATTTACTTGTTGAACCTTAAAAAATAAAAAGCTGGGCACGGTACGCCCTCTGTAATCCCAACACTTGAGAGGCTGAGGCAGGAGGGTCATTACAAGTTTGAGGCCAGTCTAGTAGGCTACATAGTGAGTTCAAGGCCAGTCTGAACTACATAGCGAAACCCTGTCTCAAAAAACCAATAATAAATAAACATAAAACTTGGAAGTATAATTTCTATACTGTAAAATTTCCCCATTTTAAGTGTATACTGTATTAGGCAATGTCTACACTCATGTAACTACTACCATTGTCAAGTAGCAGGACATTTCTGTAACCCTAAAACATTCTGTTTGCCTTTCAGTTCGGGGCAACTCCTGATCTGCATTCTGTCCCCACAGATAGGTTTTTTTCTTTCCTAGTTTCATAGTAATGGAATCATACCATACATGTTCTTTTGTGTTTGTCTCCAGTTGATCAGCAGGCTGTTTGAGACTCATTCAGGTCATTCTGGCATCACAGTGTATTCCTTCTACAGGAGATATTTTGGGGAAATGATCTCACCATCTACGTAAGTCTCTTCATAAACCTAATGCTAAAGGCTTAATGATCCTAGGGTAGCTTTCTATCTTTCACTGTGGTTATCATCCCCCAGCTTTTTTTGGTACTGGGGATCGAACTCAGGACCTTTGCACTTGCGAAGCAGATGGCAGAACCACTGAGCTAAATCCCCGGCCATCCCCTTTTCTAAGCTATGAGAAGCCTCATAGCTTAGAAAAGGGGATAGCTAGCCAGAGATTTTATATATATATAGATATATATATAGATATATATCTATATATATATCAAAGAATTGAAACTGCTTTTTGCTGTTTCAGCATATACCAATTTTTGAAAAAAAGAAAAAGATTTCCAAGAAAGGTGCTTCTTGTCTGTTATGACTTAAGTCTCAATTAATAAATGCATAGTTAAAGAAATAAACATCTTGAAAAATGATAGCTCTTAGCTCTCATTTTAAATAATACATTCTGCTAGATACATTAGTGATTTTTTTTGAGGTTAGGAAAGTTTTATTGGAAATAAGAAAAAGGAAAAGGAGAATAGCTCCTGGATTTCTAGGAGGGGTCTCAAATGGTGCAGCCCTAAATTAGCAATTTCCATAAAATCTGAGACATTGTCTTTCTGAATGAAAACATTGGGTTATTTATGAAATTTGAAAAAGTACCAATTTGAGTAGCACTTTCTTAAATGACTGGAAGGAGCTTGTGACAAGAGGGCCTGCCTTCTGTGTTTTGTTATGCATACGGTGGTAGAAAAGATTTAGGACAGTTTAGCTGTGTCTCCCTTTTGTAGTCTTACTTCTGGCGTGGGCGGGTCACTTCACGTGCTGGGCCTGGCTGTTGTGCTTGTTAAGTAGATAGTTGTGCTATTGTAGCTAGTAAGAAGTTACACAAAAGTGCTTGGGCTAGCGCCTGGCCCTGGAGACACTGTGTCGTTGTGATGTATTTTCACCAGTCAGCCACCACGTCCTGATTCTGCTGTGCACAATGCCTTCTGTTCATTATTACTGTTTGAATTTGGACCCAGACCAAATTCAACAGTTTGGGCTGTTATTGAACCCCCACCCCACCCCCGGTTGATCGGCTTGCTGAAAGTTTCTCTTCCCGTTGAACGCTCTTCACGAGCCTGAGTTCCGCCCTTAGAGGACACAGCACTGACCATATAGGAGATGAGAAATGGAGCAGTCATGGAGGGTGGTTTGGAAAGTCTTCACGGTGAGCTGGGCCTTGAACCTAACCTGGGAGGATGTAGAAGATACAGTTTGTTAGAAGAATCGAGAACCAGAAGATAGGTAACACAGGTAACACCTGTAGTCCTCTGTTTCTCCTGGCCCTCAGTTCTTGTGACAGACCCAGAACAGGCAGGCCTGACTTGGGACGGACCTGGAACAGGAGGACTAGTCCAATGGTGACAAACGGATGGGTGTTTGTGTCGTTGCAGGCTCTAAAAGGTTCACCATCACTGACCTACCCTCAGGAGGGGCAGCGAAAGCAAAGATGAGCTCAGCTGCTGGTGCAGCCTGGGAAGAACTTTTAGAACAAAATGGAGATTTTCTGTTATTTCTTCCGGTACAATTTTTTTTCTTTAAATAATGCCATGGTGTATCAAACACCCCACCCCCACCCCCCGCACAACACCCCCTCCTTCCCCAGTTTGCTACCTTAGTTGAAGATACTTGTTGTTTAAGAACTTGCAAAGCTGAGCTCAGTGGCACAGTTCTGCCCTTCCAGCACTCTGGGAGGCTGAGGGAAGAAAATCCCACGTTTGACCCTGTCTGGGCAACTTAGCAACTTAATGGGACATTGTCTCAAAAAATAAAAAAGGACTGGAGAGGTAGCTCAGTATGAAGGCCCTGGATTCAATCACCAGTGCCCAAAAAACAAACACAAAAGAAGTTGCTATTCAGAGCAGTGACCTCCCCAGGAAGCAGCAGGGGGCTCCTCCTCAGAGGAGGCTCCTTCTCCACCCCATTCCTGCCTTACCCTATCCTCCAGCCCTAGAGTGCAGGTAGGTAAGACCTTGGGTCTTACACTTTGTCCTCCGCCTTGAACAAGCTCAACAGTGCTAGGTATTGAGCCACACATACCCCAGCTTGTTTTGTCATTCTTGCAGTTAGTGGGGACGTAGCTGGTGAGCCTCCAGAGGGGCAGCCTTCCCTCTTCACGGCTTCTGGCTGAGGGGAGCACAGCAAGCATGTAGAGCATGTGCTGGATGTGGTGGGAGTGGAGATTGCTGTGTCATTTTGGGTTTGAAGGGTGGTAGCAGGAGTGCAGAAAGGGATCAGGCAGATTTCAAAGGCTCAGCTGCAGAGTCGATGCCGCTCTTCAGGCTCCCTTTCTGGAATCCTTACCCTTTGTGTTCCTCTCTGGGGTAAAGACATCCTGAGGCTGTGCTTTGGGCGCTTCCCTCATTCTCCATGGCCCACTGAAGCGTGGCGCACGCAGGGACCCCGCCAGTGGAGCATGTAGCACTCTTCAGCCATTTCTCTGTGCCCCACCCCTCTTGCGGTTGACTGCTGAACTTGTTAACAGCAACCAGTGCTCTGTGCCTGGTGTCCTGGGATGGGCATCAAACCTGCTGCACCTTTGTCCATAGCTGGCCTCTCGTAAATACATGCCAGGAAGGACTTTGGGAATGCCACCAGCCAGGCCTATAGCTCTGATTGATTTTGTGGGACCTTGAAAGGGACTTGCCAAGAATCCTTGCACTGTGTTGTAGGACCCCACTGGTTTGGTGGCAAAATACTCACTCTGGAGTATAACTGTCTGGATTTTATCTGGCTCTGCTATTTTTAAACCATGTAGCTGGGGAAAGTTACTCTTCTGGGTCTGTGGCCTGGTCTGGTGAGACTCCAGACCCTGAGGCCTGACTGTCTCGGTTAGAATTACTTCACTCCTTCACTTACCGACTGACTATGGGCAAGTTTCATTTTCCTGTGTAAAACAGAGATCATAAAGGTACCCACAGAAAATGATAATGTGAAGGTTCAATGAGATGGTACAGAATGTTTGGAATCGTGGCTGACCCGTATTGAGCACTACGTCAGTCTTCACTGCGATTGTGACTGTCACGATTAAGTGGGGGGGGGGTAAGTAAAAAGCTTAGCATGGATCCTGGCGCAGAGGAAGCAATGAATGTTAAACTCTCTGAGCTCCCCACCAGCCCAGCTTGGGAAGGTCCTAGGCCAAAGGACAGGTGTCGGGAAATCACAGGAGGCCCTTTTACAGGCTCCCAGCAAGACCAGTCCTTGGAGAATCAAAATCTATGAAGTTTCTTGTCTTTCTTAGGCAGCAAGAACAGGGGAGTCCTTGTAGCTGGTCTGCTTCATGAGGAGGGAATCTCGGTCAGCTTTATGAACTATTGTATCCTTATGCCCAGCATGGTACCAGTCCAGAGAAGACACTCTGGAGGAGTTTGTTAATGACTGCAGGATGGACTGAATGGAGGAGAGAGGCTTGCAGCCATTAGTTGGGGAAGGGAGAGAATATCGACTGTTGCTGAGTTTGAGGTAGTAGGAAATAGGAAAGTCACATTCACTAGATCAATCAATAGGTAATAACTAAATAAGTTAAATTTAACATACTAAATTTAAATTTAATGCTTTCTGTCCCAGATCTGTGCATTGATACACATTTGGAGACTGAAGTTCGTTAAGTAGCAGAAAAGCAATTCCTCCCTGAAGTCTGTATTATAGAAAAGCAGAGAGGTCCTTAACGTCTTAGTCTTCCATCTATTACGGTGATCAGTGTTAACCCCTAAGACAAGAGCAGCAAGGACAGGTGCTAGGAGACTGGGCCACTACAGAATGGAGGGAAAGCAAGGGCCTCTGGAAGGAGCCATGGTGTGGCGGCTGCCTATACAGGCTGTCTTCTGTGCCCTGGACAGCTGCCTCCTGCACCTCACCCTGTACTCAGGCAGATGGCAGTGGGTTCTCAGAAGCCTTAAGTGCCAGCCCCCTGCCTCTGCTCTGGCTGTTTCTCTCACTTCCTCAGCTCTGGACACATGGTCATTTTGCTGGCTGCCCTCGGAGGGCCCAACTCAGGACCCACTGTACCTTTTCCTGGCAGAGGTGTCCTCCCCAAACCCTCCACTCCTGGTGTCCTAACACAATCCCCTGAGCATCCTGTCTGTAGTGGCACCTGTCTCCATCACTGGGACCCCTTTCTGTGCCTGATTTGTGTTCTGATTGTCAAACAGTGTGTGTGTGTGTTGTTTGATTTTTGTCTGTCTTCCTCACCACAGTGATGCGTTGTTGGGGCAAATGTGATGCCCAAAACATTGCACAAACTCCTGAGGACTCAGAAATATGTGAATCCATTAAAATGGAATAGGTGCTACATTTTTTTTTAAAGATAAGATCAATCTGGGAAATAATGCCAGGTTTGAATTATGACTCTTTAAAGTAAGAACCAAGTTGACCTTGTTCAGTTTAAGAGTATATCTAATACTGTTTGAAAAAAAATATATAAATATATAAAGGGTCCAGTTTATGAGTGTATAGGGGAGAGGGCTCTTTTTTTGTTCCAAAGATTTACTTCTAAATTGCTTTTTTGGAATTGAAAGCATACCACATTTTCTGAAAAAGGGTTTTGATATAGTCAGCACTTTGTATCCTTGGGTTCAGTGTCAGTGGATTCAGCTGACCTCAGATTGAAAATATTTGACAAAAATTGCCTCTGTACTGAACATGTACAGATTTTTTTCCTTGTCATTATGTCCCAAACAATACAGTATAACATCTATTTATGTAGCCTTTGCAGTACCTTGGGTATTATAAGTAATCTAGAAATGATATAAAGTACATGGGAGGATAATTGTAAGTTTTAAGCAGATACTATGCAATTTATATTATATAAGGGACTTGAGTATTTATGGGCTTTGGTGGCCAAGGGGGTCCTAAAAAGTTTCTACCTCATAGTCTAAGAAATTTAGGCACAGAAGGAAAGAATACTTCCTGATAGATGCCTCTGCTGTTTTATTTCCTTCTATCTCTCCTTTTTAAAAAAAAAGTCGTTAGCTTTCAGCGCACTATGTGCTCATTCAAGTATGCAAGTGACAGCAAAACTAAGTCTGCTATTAAGCATCGG